TTCAATCAGTGTAAATATTCTTATATCTAAAAAGGACAAGCAGCTGGATGAGCAGTCCAGTGACCAATGCTCTCTGCCCTTGGCGTACTCACTGCACTCGAGCTCAGGGACCGCAGCATGACCCGGCCAACATCCCACGGTTCAGTCAAGGCTAACGTCTCGGAGCCGAAATAACACCCCATGTCTCAGGAAGTGACCTGGGTGCTCGCAATCCTCACCCGTTAGTTATTTGAGCTGTGACATGCAAGCGTCAGGACCTGTATCAATAACAGTAGGATGAAGTGGCAGTGTGGTGGTGCAGTAGACCTGGTTTATAGACAGCAACCCTAGAGATGACCATCAGATAGTGTCCGATAAGGGACACGACCACAGGAGAGCACAACAAAGAGCGTGGAGGTCATCGTATAGATCAATGGACCTGCCGATTATACGCAAAAAGACTGGAAGGAGATTGTGGGAATCACGGTGCCTGTTAATCATCTGTTTAATCACGCCAGCCCTAAGCATCGACCCATGCCAAGAAATATGGAATTGCCGATACATACAAGCGCCAGGCAATTGATGCAATTAAATGTACGAGATGACCCCTGACCCCTCGTTGACAACTATGCAATATTGTCTCATTAAACACAACAAAATTCCCAGGAATTGCAGCCTCATCTAGAGGCTGCTTATCTGCTACGGGTCACAGAAATCCAAAGTCCATGTCTGAAAGTATATGTCATGGTATGTCCTGGATGGGGCGTTAGTACTTGCAGACAAAATATCCAAAAACACCCAAGGATAAAACTGATTAGCATGCCCTCAGACTTTGAGAAGAAAGTCTGTGTCTTGATCTAGTTTGGCATCCATCCAGATTCTCAACCACCATGCCACCTAGTGCCCCCCTAAGTGCATGACATATATAACAATGAATGTTTTGATTAGTCCTAATAAAAGCCAACAGACTATGACATCCTGCGGTATTGAGTGCACTGCCAAGGTCTCGAAGCTGAAATTGCCCGTGTCAGCCCTGGGGGACAGGGCTGTAAAATCTGAAGCTGGGGGTGCAGTGCGGGGAGATGTACAGCTGCTGTCTGATATTCCTACCGAATGAGGGAGACGAGAACCAGCTGGAAAAATATAGCCCCCCAGCACGCAGTGTCATCTAACATGGCCAGGTGTTGGCGCTGAACCGAAGGCAGAGAGCGGCAGCTGTCAGTCACAGCCGTGGATGAATCCAAGGTCAACAAAATACGCAAAGACAGGATCTAATGATGCGTTCCATTTACCTCGGAGGTCGAACTCAGAACTGGGAATGACGTCAAAAACAAGTTAACAGCGTCCCAATACAGCAAGTCAGAAAGCAATTTAGCAGTACCAGGGACCTGTTTCAAAAGGCAAGATTTCTTGCTTAGCCAGACAGCTTGTTGGATTTAAGGTACCTCAGTTTAAATGAGTTTTATTTTCATTTACTTACATTTAGCCCAGACTACCTTAAATCCGACAAATTATCCGACTACATAAGAAACCCAGTTCTAGACTGGTTAATTGTTAGGCATTGTTTGCAAAATCAGTTGATAACAACACACTATGCAGTGTTTTGCGCATAAAACTCCATTCTAACACGTCCATAGCAGTTGGACAGTATTGTGTGTATGACCAATTTAATGAGCCACAAATCAAACGTACGTGCTAATGAACAGTGTAAAACTACAGCTTTAACTTCTGTTGATAAAGGGTGCAGCCATCTTGAATTCTGAGCTCAGGGTTGTGTCGATTCCTCCGAGTTTGTGAGTCAGAATTCCAACTTCAGGGAGTGTTCCAGTTGAAATTTCCAACTAGGAACTCTGAATTTGCGAGTTATGAGTTCAAATGGAACGTAGCATAAGATCAAGGTCGAGAAATCCGGATATCAACCTGGGGGGGGTAGAGTTGAGACTGCTTTGCTTGAAGACCGTGTCTCAGACCAAGCGCTCACCATCAGAAAAATCAAGCCTGGAAACAAGCGACCCTTAGCTCCTCTCCAGAAACCACATCCAGCTATGAGGATGGCTAACAGAGAGCACACAGACAAGTGTTTGGTCATCCCTACAGAACCAACCTGGGCACCATACCAGAGGTCTCACTTCACAGACATTCTGCAGGTAAGCATACATGGGGCCAGCTGGGTGGATTAGGAAACCTCGGTCAATAGTGAACAGCTGATAGGAGAACCTTTCATGTTAGATATTAGGTTAGCAGATACTCCATACAAAGGTGAATTAGCACTGGAAGGTTTAACTCAGTCTGTTGAGGTTATGTACCTTCCACAATGGCACAACAGAGGCTTGATCTTGCCTAAGAGACGGAGCACCTGCTGGCTGCTCACATCTTCTCAGAGGTGGGTGTGTTCATGACATGGCAGGTCCACCCGCCCCCTGAAAGGTGTGAATTTCCGCAACCTCTTTTCACAACCTGGTTTGTATCTCCTGACATTTCTAAAGGAGTTCTTTTCATATCACATGGCATCAAGTAAATAAAACACACATACACAGTGATTTAGAGGCATGGGAGTGCCACTTTGAGCAGCCCATAAAATCAGCAGAGGTCTCTTTGAGTCACCTCATTATCTTTAAATGAAAACTAATCTTAACACATTGTACAGTGTGACTTGGAAAATGGAGAGGAGATGAAAGAACAAAGAGCGTCATTCCTGAGCAGTTTTCAGACAGGGGACTTGAAATCTGTTTCATCTAAAACTTGGCACATTCGCCCAGAGGACGACAGACACATAGTCCAAACGCCTGATGTCATTGTAATTCATCTCCACTCCCCTGATTCCCCCGCAAAATCTCACCTTTGCCCTGCTTTAGATGTGATTCCCATGACCCCGAAGACCATGCAGTGAATCTTTGTCATTTTCTTATTTCCAGGTGGAACAAGTCAGGGAAAGATCAGGGCTAACAAGCAGCAATATCGAAGCTCATCAATCGGTCGGATTAACAGTTGTCTACCCATTACTGGTTTTGCTGAAGTGTCATTCCTTGTTTAACGATCGGCTCTAGCCCGTAATAGAACCATCCATATCAATTCTGACACACAATCACCTACACGCGCACAAACGTCAGAAGAAGTCAGTGCGCCATCTGCTGTACAAATTCAGTCACTCCAGTCGGCATGAGGATTACTACGCAGCAACGATTAGACGACGGTCTCTACGAATTCATTGTAATGCCACATTTCCATGATTGAGTGTGGTTTGTAGTTTGCCAAATGTTCGACCAATTTTTTTAACGGTGTTTCAGTTTTGTGAAGTACTTCAGCGCAAGCTAGACAGGAATTCAGAAAACAGTTCACAACTGGACCCCTAGCCCAGCTCCGATCTTGCGAACCAAGGATGGCGGCTATGGAGTGCCGACGCGAGTAACAGGGAAACGCGAAACAGGGAACGCTGCCCTATTTCCCCTCCCGCTCATTTCGTGGGGAAAGCATCTGTCTGCGCTGACAGCTCTGTACGTTCAAAGTGGTGCTCCAAACGAAGCCAGTGGTCTGCGGATTATCTGAAATACTCAGATAAGTATCACACCCACTTTCCTTTAAAGCACCATCTGCACAATTGCTCCACTGCAAAGGTGACAAAGCTTTTAATCCAGGTAAGATCGCTTAATACACCTGGACGAGTTATAATTAACACTGCCATCTGAAGTATCAACCCTGGCCATTTGTGCTGATATTTGTCTGAAAGGAACTTATCATTTGTGCGAGTCTCTTCTTTTAATCTGTTTTGAACATTTATTGTATTCATTATTTTTAGGGGTGGCCGTACCCAGGCAACGCAAAAAAAAACTTCCCAGGCGAGTGAAACCATAAGCAGTCGCGACTGGGCCGGCCGCACCTTGCTTCGGATGGTACCCCCTGGTCTGGACAGACTCCCTATGAAAAAGGCACGTATGGGACACTTCCCGTACAGTGGATCGGACCATGGGTGCACTACATTTAACTGGATTGTAACTCTGCGAAGCACGTTATTCCACAGAACGTGTCTCTGATAGAAGAAAAAAATTGAGATTAAAAAAATGCCATCTATTTATTAAACGCTTCTTCAGAACGTGTCATTCAGAGGAAGCATGGTATCGCAATGGTGTGCGGTGGGAAGTGTGGGAAGTGTGGGACCTCAGCAAGGTCGGGTGAGATCCGTCTCCCCCATTATAACATCCTAGTGGGTCAATGAGTAAAGCAGCAGTCCGATCACCTGGAGTGCCAGTGAAACCAGTTTAAATGATAACAGCGGATTGATGCACTGGCGGGGGACACACTGTGATTTTTCACACGGTGTAGTTGCCCGTCGTACGGATCAAGGCGACGTACTATATTCTACAACAATTCCTATTTGTACTAACACTATATTTATATTTACAAGGCTGACATATTTGTCATTTCTAGTTATCAGCCCTATTTGCGGAGAAGTATATAGGGTAACCATGTATGTAAGTTATATAGATCGACTTACGGCGGTAAAAGCTGAACCATCGTGCCCAACCTCCGTAAATCACAAGTCACATGTAAAATACAAAAATTACAATGAAAATACCGCTCTCTCTATATTATTCTCTCTATTATACGTGCATGCATATATACACATAATCATATCGCGTGCATATATTAACACATAGGCTATATTGAGTGAAAGACTGAGTTAATAGAAATGCTCGTTTCTGGTTTGTCGCTGCTTCATAAACTTTACCAAGTGAGCATTGATAATTAGTGGCAACTGATGCTGACAAAAAGAGAACTTTATCTTTTTGTGCCCGAAATGTGCAAAATTAAATATTGCCGAACTCAAAAGCGTGTCCATACAAATCTAATACAAAAGTGAGAGACGGCGGCGGAGCATTATCCGCGCTTCTTGCTCGTTTCCCCTGACTTGTCCATGATTCATGCCAAGCATCTCTGCGGACAGCCGGCGCCTAAGCACAGCGAAGCCTCAGCTATGAAATTCAGATTTAACTGGTGAGACGAATGTAGAGAAATAATCCTACCTTCATTTTCAGGGTAATTCCGCAAAGCCAGGTTCGGCGCCAACGCGAAAAGGATCAAGAAGGTTGGGTAAATCCAATGGACTGGCATTTTCAGGCATCCCTGTGCACAAACTTACTGATCCCGGAGAGCTGGCTGTGCTGGAGGAGAAGTGAGCGGCGGCCAGCGCGGAGGAGGATCCTGCGCCGCTCCGGTCTGTCAATCACGGAAGGGGGGGGGGGGCAGGTCAAACGCCCGGGGATGGAGGCTCGCCTTGGTTTTGAAGCCCTGAAATAACAAGCTTCAAAGATGGGCATTTCCTTCTAGGTTAATGTGAAACCTCCAACTCCAAGTCACCTCCTTATCTGCGGCCGATTTTTTGGTTAAAAAATGTAATTGGTTATTTCGAAAGCGATCTTAATCACTTGAGCCCACTGGCAAATAGGATCTATTATCCCCACCTAAAAGCCTCAGGAGTAGGAAGCTTTTTGTGGTGCTGTATGGAAAGATTCGAACGGAAAGCCCAAGACAAATTTATAAAATTTTTCTAACATATTGAAATTAGGCATATTTACTGGCACTTTATATACGTATGAAGTCAAGGCTATTAAACGGCAGTCTAATTATTTACGTTATTTTATAGAGACATATCAGTCGCTATCGGCTTTGCCATTTTTGTTTTCTTGCAGTCATTTTCTGACGACTTTATAATTCAAACCTGCAGCCCTTCTTTTGAAGATAAATTGAAATTTGGGTCCAAGTTTGAAATTCGGGAAGGTTAGAGGCAGCCATTATTGCAAAAAAAAAAAAAATCACAATAATAGTGGTTATTCATCCATTTGCAGTAACCGCTTTTTCAGTAATTTGCTACGGGGGCAGTTTTAGATTAAAATAATCCCATCAATTGGAGTGTGAACGTGAAGGTCAAACACGTGGTTGGCAGATTTGTAAAGCACCAGTTTCCCTCGTGAAGACCATCCATCATCAAAGTCCACAACCGCCCCCCCCCCAGCCGAATACACGCCCGTGCTTGGTGCCAGATGACAGCCATCATGACAGAGTGACAGCGCGGGAGGGGGGCGGGGTTTGGGCTGCGAAGGTCCGTGAGCTTTAGGGAGTCAGACACGGTACCCGGGAAGGAAGGCTGTTATCTGCACGCGTGATGTTGGCAGCTGGCAGCTGATTGACTGCAGGAGATGAACAGCCAAAAATAATGGCGGGGGGTGTTGGTTTACTTATCAACCAAAGCTGCTCTTCTGTTCTGGAACGTTTGCTGTGTTTAACTTCCCCGTTAGCAGCTCGCATTTTGCCAGTGTGCATGCTAAGGCACGTCAACCCCCTGCTCTGTCTTTAGAGCTTAGATCTACAGTATCTCTAGGTGTGTGTGGTCATGTATATATCCAGTTCCGGATCTAGGCTGCTCTGGTTGGGGGGGATTACAAATTTTGGGTGGTCAGCATTTCATACAATGGCTATACTACAGTGGAGTAGCGGCTTGTGACGAGAGAGATAGGTGGGGTACATGGGCATATTCATACTGTACGTTTGAACTATCTATGAATTCTAAATTATGAATGGTCATCTCTCTAATCAGGAAAGACTATTATTATTATTATTATTATTATTATTATTATTATTATTATTATATGATTTCTGTACGTTTCAGATGGAAGTGTCTGCTAACTAAGCATAAGCGTAACATAAACATAAGCTTATCTACTGGCATAATAACTGAACTGCTGGTAGCAAGCTTTGATTTGAGAACCAAAACTTGTTGTTTGTGGTTGTGTATGAATAATTTAAGTGAATTATTGCACGTCATCTATCTAACCAGGGGGTATTCCATAAAAATAGCTAAAGAACGCCAGACTTTCCCGAAAAAGTCAGACCGCTTCCATATCAAACTAGCACCATCTCTAACCTCATAGCCTCATGTCGTTCCATTAACGCGGTTCAGCTTAACCTAATCAAGGCTCATAAAAGACAGACTTGCATAGCGCACACCCGAGATATTTAAGAAGCCCAAATGAATGGATAAACGGTAGATCGATCAAATTTGTCAGAAAGTGTGTAAAACGACAGCGGTGTTTTATTTCCGCTGCAGAACAAACGCTGTATGAAATATACAAAGATGTAATCGTTAAAAAAAGGCAACACTGTGACCATAAATAAATGCCTGGTACGGTGGTACAGTGGTTTATACTGTCGCCTCACAGCGTGAAAGTTCCTAGTTCGCTCACCATAGCCAACGGGAAGCCTGATCTTGGTTGAATTTACGTGCCATTCTTACTGTGTAATGTTATTCTGAATTATTTGATCTCCGTAAAATACTTTTAATCGCATCCATGTGAAATGTTCTGCACAAATAACCGTATCTTGTCTTTGCTCTTTACTAATAAACTTTCAAAGTAGACTGTGACTAAACAAAATATAAAAATATCTTCCTGTTCATATTATTTTAACGGATTTTTTTTTCAGGCATTAAACTTTATGTTTGACCTTTGTAATATGGGTACGCTTTTATTTTAATTATTTTGGAATTAATTGAAATGCTGAGACGTGATTTTTATAGGCTTTATTATATATTTTACATGAGATGAGTAGTGACAGCGCGGAATTTCGTCCGACGGAACGATCTTTTGGGAATCTGAACCCAGAGGTCTGACGTTCTTTGATACAACGTTAAACTAATTAAGCCATACAGTTAACCTGGTGCGGAGCAGACTTGTTCACTCGCCTAAGTTACCATGGTAGCTCAGTGGGGATTCATTTAAGACACTTTGATGGTACGGAACTCCCACTTAAATAAGCCCGACTTGTGGAAAAGTCAGACTTTCCCTTAATCCTGCTTCGCGGAACACCCCCCAGGCAACGTTATTTATACTGAGCGCTGACAGGGTTGCCACCTCTCACGCGTCTGCCGTGACGCTCACGCTTTCAGGTTCTCACGGTCTTTCGGCAAATCTATATTATTCCATTATAAACCTAAATCAGCTACATCAAAAGTTTTGGAATAGTCTGCAAACCCTACAGACTATTTTTTATTATTATTGCTATTAATTCACGTAATAAAACTCTTACATACGTGTAAATGTGTGTGCAGACTTGTCTCGAATTGAAAATGTCATTCCAGCCACCTGATCAAAGTTGGCAACCCTGCGCTGATATCAAGATTAGCAAACTGTCAAATGTTAAATACAATAGTGCACCCCAATCCCAGGGGTTACGGCCAAGACTGACCGCAAACCGTGATTAGTAGCGAACACATTAAATTACTTGTTTTTCCTGTACCTAGACATACCTATGATAAAGTTTAATTTTCACTTTAAGTGTACTGTACGTTCTAGTGAGCTTCCTAGCCAACAGAAATGTTAGTTAGCTAGCTAACTAAGAGTTCACTAAACCCCTACTAGCAAAGATCCTTATTCAACACATTACAGCAAACTACAGCAACAAATGATACATTATAACACGAAGGAGCTTTAATAAGAATAGAGTGACAATCCTCCTCCACTTTCAAAGGTGACTACAAACACTACGCAGAAGAATATGTGATGGGCCGAATGAAATAAACGTGATTGGCAGATTCAGATGGCGAAGGCTAAAGTTGACCAATTGGGTGGGCAGAGCATAAATTTGGGCGGGCATAACCCATCGCTGCCCTGCCGTGTCCCTACAATATCAATATAAAAAACATATTATTTTGACGTTCTGGGACCATTTTCTTCGGTCCCCACAAGGGGAAATTCAGTTTTATAAAAAATCAGTGACAATCAAAATCCTAAAACAGCCAAAAGTCTTTAGTTTGGTTATGGCTCAATAGGGCTTAAGGTTGATATAGTTATGCTTAGAGTTATGTCCATAGAAATTAATGGAGAGTCCTCACAAAGATAAGAATACATAGTGTGTGTGTGTGTGTGTGTGTGTGTGTGTCTTAAGGGAGGAGGGGGGCACATTCATTGTCACTGTGTCCAAGCACAAAGCAATTAGGATTCAGGCCCCTTAGCTAAATACCATCACAACCAATTCTGCAAAGCTGATAACACAATTATTTGCATGTTATTATGGGGGGGTCTTCCTCCCTGCACAAAGAAGAAGGATTATCCTGTTAGGGTGGGGGATGCAGGAAAATGGCAGTAAAGGTCTCTTCTTTCAAATGCGTGAGATCGCTGGCATGGTCACGCACTGTTCATTGGGAAGTTTGATTTTCTTGTTTTCATTGGTGGTAAAGTTTGTGCTGTGAAATGTACAGATGGCTCCTTGCTTGGTTTCGTTTTATAAAGGACCCATTGGAATGCAGCTGCCCACAAACAGGCGAGATGGACCGGAGCCTCCGTGACCAGGTCTGCCGGCTGGGGGTGGAGTTACTATGGTGCTGGGAGTGCATGCTACGCTTCAGCTGTGACAAGCAGTTACTGGGATGTCTGAAGACAGGATGTTCACCATTTGCCTAGGATGTCGAGTATTTCAGCCACACGACGCCCAGATCTGACTGGAAATTACCAGTGGTGCTTTTTATTTGACTTCAGGGCAACTGCCAAAAGGGGGCAACGTTGAGGCAGCATCGGCAAGTTCACTGAATGTCAGCCGACTAAAACATCATAGTTAATGTGTTCACAGACATGTTTTTGTTACATGTGTGTTTCCTATGTTAACCTTAACATTCATGACACCTTACAGTGGCTTGAATGGAAAATAATTTCCCTGCTTTGTGACTCTCAGTGGCAAATCGCATTTCAGCATGTTCCCATAAGTGTGTCATAATGGGAAAGCATTTACTGTAGGAGTGTCTTTTGACCTTGCACATGATTGCAATGTTCTCTGCCAGTTACATGTTTCTGTGGTGATCAAAGAGAGCTCTTCTCTGCACCACTGCTGGGGGGTTATGTTGTTTCTGGGGACCCAATCCAAAAATCACTTTGGGGTCCTATCCTTCCATAGTGTAATAATTGTTTGTGACCAATAGGGGGCCCAAACCTCAGGGGCCCCACACAAATGCATGATTTGAGTGGTGATAAACACTTCTGCGCCCCCCGGTGTACTCACACAATTTGTCCAAGCTCTCTCAGTCCAGCCCACATTTCTGATCTTGACCTCCTGTAACCGCAGCAGATTTAAGAGCATTGAGCAACTTCAAAGTTTCCCCAAAATATCTCCAGGCCAGTTAAAAAAAAAAATGGCTGACACATCCAGCGAAGAAAGAAAAGCAGAAATGCACAAACAAACCATCCTGACCCCAGGTCTCCATGACGACGTGCCCGGAACGACCCCGGGCCAGTATTTGGTTTTTCTCCTCACTTCATGGCTGCTTCAAGAACAGCTCAAGCCGCACTGGTCAGAGGTGAAGAAGGCAAAGGAAACTGTCTCTCCTGACCCTGTCAATGCCTCAGTCCTGGGTTCGAGACAGTGGCCAGCAAACCAGCCGGCACTGTTTTGCAAAAAGCAGGCTGGATCAGAACCAGGCCGGCCTCCAAACCCAGACATTTGCAATCGGGCAAAATTCTCAGGCAGCTAAGACAAGACCTTTTTTTTCTCTTATCCAAACAAAAAGCAAAACGCTCCAGTTCCCCTTAGAAATGCTGCCCATCAACAGTGAGCAGCATTGTGGGAAAGTCCCCTTTGGTTCTGACCCTGTACCCATGAGGCTCTGCCAAGGAGACAGACTGAGAATCATCTCACTTCCTTACACACTTGGCATGTTACATGCTTTTTCTTAAATGTTTACCTGTCGCTTCCTGTTTACCATGGCTGATGTAAAGAAACAAAAATTAATACAATTGTAAAATATATTCAAGAACCAGATTATTTTTAAACCTTTGGTAAAACCCGTAAAAATCATCGAACAGTTTACAGTGACACGTTCTGTAATAAGGGAGTACACGTTGCTACTTTATAATGTCAGTCATTCAAATGACTAGTTAATTAAGTTAAGACAATTTTTGACTTCATGAAAATTGTTCCCGACACAAAACAATCCGCAAATCACAATGGTAAATGGATTCCTCTAATTGTGAAAGAAATTTATCCTACTTTAAGCTTTAAACATCCACATATCATATCTCTCCTCAAACGTGTATACATCCATCGGCCGAGATCACAAATAAATAGGCTAATTGAAAATAAATGGTTGTAAGGTCCACAGAAAAGAAAGAAAAACTGACAGTTTCACTTCTTTGGATCCAAATGTGGAATAAGGCGAGTTCAGTCGAGGTGTTTGGGGTATTTTCCGCCACCTTAATTGGGCTGCGAAATGTCCTTTTAATTCTTGTGCATATCTGCCAGCCTTTATCCGCATTATGTTCGTTTAAATGAGGACACACCATCGGAGATGAATGAAACATCCCAGCTGCAAACATGCGAGAAGTCTGCGGTCTTTGGAGATTTACCGCGCTGATAAATGCGTGACACGGTTAATATTTGATGCCTGTTGATTCAGCCTCATAATGATTTCATTTAAAACCTGCCTAGAGGCGAAACATTTCTTTTGGCATTTAGATGCTCTTTCCCCTCAACTTATTATCTCCCATGAACGTCAACTAAATATTTATTTACATTATTCCTTTGAGCTTGTTACCCCCAATCAATATATGCTTTTATTTATCTAGGCTGAAGCTTTCCACTAAACGTTACATTTTGATATTAAACTGAAAGTGCTGTCAATATATTGAATGATATAAATATTTTGAATGTGCATTTATTACATAACCCAGGACACGCAGTCCGGTAATCCAAGATGACCATGTTTGTGGAGCCTTTGGATCCGGCTGTGCTGCACCTCTTGGGCAGCTCCTGCATGGCCACGCCGTCTCGACATCCGCCCGGACGCGATCCAGCGGCTCGGCTGGAAACACTCAGCCCTCAAACAGCAAAGAGGAAGCGACGAAGCCGGTGTGCGTGGAAGCCCATGCAGGATGCCCGATTGCTACCATCAGTCGGGCCCAGCTTACTTGAACTTGGCTAGAGTTAAGCCTCTCGTTCAGATAAAATGAACACGTAGCCCCTCTCCATGAGTTAAATGCAACCAACCAACGCTGTGAGCTGGGTGTGTCTATGTGTTCATGGGGGGTTGCGCGGTTATGTTTTTATTTATGAAGGAATAAAATACACTCTGTTTCAACTGACCACTCGTCCTAAACGGGAGACCAAGCAAAGGAAAACCAACGGTTATCCCGATCACACCCAGCTCTGCCAGCGTGGTCTGCAATCACAGCAACGTACTGATCCCCGTCCAGAGGAAACAAAAGGGCCGCAGGGGGGGAATTCGCCGAAACACCACCCACCACGTATACAGTCTTTTATTTCATTTTAATTTTTAATAAAGGCTTTCATCCTAAAACAAATAATCCCGGTCTCTCAGGGTCGTGGCTTCAAATCGTCTGCTTACCCAACGCCCCTCCGATCCACATTTTTACCATCACCACCCTCCCCCCTTGGGTTGCCCCGTTAGATTTGTTCTAGCGCAGGCAATGGGAAACAAGAGGAAGAACCAGATTATCGACCGAAATCTTAAAATAGACCCCAAATCTACAACCGCCCAGGAGCTGTGACCTAAGAAGACCCCCCAACACGCATCTCCATGTCCCCAGGCGAGTAAAGGTCTGTAAACCCCAGCAGTCTAATCTTAGACCAGCAGAGAACGACCCTAGTGGTTTACTGGCTTCTTTTGATTGCGACCCTCGTTAACCCATGGGTCTTACGATGGAGAGATCCTATCTGGGCGTGACAGCTGTATGCATACTGGCTTTTGGGCGAAGATTAATTAGCCCTGAGTTAAACGGTCAAACAAAGACGTGAATGACATATTTAAAAATCAGTCGTTCGGCTAGATATAAAGCTTCATAAAGTGTCAATCAACATCATCCAGATCATATGCAGAGTTTGTAATGGGGGGCAAAAAAGAGCGCATCTCACTTTCCTTGTCTTAACGCACGTATCTGATACACACATATCCTGTTGCTTTGTGTGTTTATAAGCACCTGAAATGTTACGCCCAGCATAACTTGGGTTGTCCTCTTTTTCACAGTCTTTTTTGGGACCTAAAATTCTCTTTAATCAGAATACTTTCTGCATGCATTGATGCCTCTCTTTGCGACCTGCCCCGAGGTATCCTATTTTTTTTTTGCGTATTTCAGTAATTAATAGCGCGTTGTCCTTGTAGGCAGCTTTTAAGTAGTGTTAGGGTTACCACCGTCCGTTATGCGGGGAAAGTTAGGACAATTCCAAGGGCCCCTGAGTGACAGATATTATATTAAATTATATTATATTATATTATATTATATTATATTATATTATATTATATTATATTATATTATATTATATTATGTGGGACGGGTGGCAACCCTGCAAGTTTACTCTGGTGCCAAATTCTGCAGCTCTCTCCCAGAAAAAGCTACATAATGTGTAATTACTTTCAAAACTAGGCTGAAAACGCATCTTTTCACCACTGCGTATAGTATAGTATAGTATAGTCTATGATATTCAGTGATTTTATTTAATTTTAAACACATAATCGGTTATTTTATTAATCTATTTCCGAGAAAATGACTCCCCCAGAAGAGTAAAGGACTATACTCCCCAGTGAGGTATGGGCTAGAGCAGGGGTCCCCAACCTTTTTGAAACTGAGAGCTACTTCATGGGTACTGAGCCTTACGAAGGGCTACCAGTCTGTAACGCCCTCCTAAACTCATCTAAACTTCATGTATAATGAACATGTTTTAAATGTTTTTTTAAGATATTGTCATTTTCAAATCTATATAGATGCAAATGTGATTAAAGAAGAATAGCAACAGGATAAAATTAAATTTTAGGCGCTGCTCACTGGTGAGTTGTGCTATTATTAGATCAGGTCCGCGGACGACTCATGTGGTCCTTGAGGGCATCCTGGTGCCCGCGGACACCATGTTGGTGACCCTTGGGCTACAGTGAGGTAAGTAACATTATTATTATTATTATTATTATTATTATTATTATTATTATTATTATTATTATTATTATTATATAGGCCTAATATACCGTAGATACAATATTACACTTAGATAAGTTCTTCATTTACGTAAAGCAGAAAAAAGGTGATCAAAGTCTTTTCGTCCTGAACGCTAATTTGTTCTTCATAAGTGACTTCAAGCACCGCGAAAACCTAGCGGAGGAAATTTCAATTTCTGTGTGAATGTGGCCACCTACTGGGTAAGAGTGGATACTGACACGGAGCGTTTTTTTCCCACTGCACTGGAAGTGTGTGTAGATGAGCATGCAGTGCGCTGTTTCCAGCCCGGAACTATTGCACACAATATGTAAGTAACACATCAGCATTTTGCAACCAATTTAGTTCATGACTTCTCACTTCTTTCAGTCTAGGCGAGTAAACTAGTTCCGTTTTTAACAGGCACCTAAACACAGAGAACGACACAAAGTCACATTTCGCAATGTCAGATTGTTCGAAAACTTTAAGTACGATCTCAGATCAAAGTTGCTTTTAAAACAAAATATAAGTAATTAAATACCACCTGATTTGACCAAAGCAAATTAACGGCACACTTTTTTGGCATTGTCCGATATAGACAAAAAATGTTTTAGCCATATAAAGTGCATAGCTGACTGAGATCCACACTGCTATAGGAGCGCAGTACTTTATAAACTTTCTGGGATCTGTGTGTGCTGACACACCACTTTGTCAGTCCAGTGTGATAAAGGCTACAGCGATGATGGATGTCACTCTTTTGTTGTGTTGCTTTTTTTGGATTAGAAGTCCCATTTTTATACCGCAGCCTTTTGTCCCTTTCGTGTTTTAGACATGATTTACGACGAAGGAACGGGAGTCTGTGCAACAGAGAGATTGCAGGAACAAGCCTTCCTGACAGATACCAGCTGTGTGCGAGATACCGTGTGAAATCCATTTTTGGCCGATGTTAAATTCACATCAGTGACGTGTAGGATAACACACGTGGGGAGCACAGCCGGTAATGGCTATAAGAAATTGAAAACGGTGTCCGGCCTTAGAGAACCGTCTCCCAGAATAACAACTCAATTACCATTTATTCCCAGAAGGCACTGCTGCAGTAAGATAAGGTGCCATGTGGAATGATCGAGTAAACAGCTTTTCTGTGAATGGGCCGGTTTTTAATTCAGTTTCACTGGAGACGGCTGAGCAAATTTTGATGATAGATGGATGTATGGATAAATAGGCCTACCGTGGATAGACTGATTGGTAACGAGAGCCCCGTCTGACTGGTTAAAATAATCTCCGCCTCCACAAGCAGGTTATGAGGTATAGGTTTTATTGGCTGCAGGTTAGTAAAACAGAAGAGCTGTAACCTAAAATGTAATGGTAGCTTCACAATGAAAGCACGCAAAAAGTACGTGTATGAGTAACATTAATTTAGACAGTAACTGCGCTTTCAATAGTCCCATTATATTTTACCAGCATGCTGTTATTACCTTTTAATTTGCCCTTCTTTTATTTCATCACCATTCATTCAGCGCTAAACAGAAGTGAAGTTGAGAAAACTTAGCAGAGTGCCCTCTAGTGGCTTCGGTCATTCCTCCATCCTTTCTTGAGCTGCTTTTTTGGGTGAGGGTTGCTGTACCGTTTCATTTCTTTTCACTCAAAACCCACAAAGCATGAGGTTTAGAAATAAATTTCTCTGAAACCCATATGTTCATGTGACCCAAGAGAACAGCTGCAGCCTTGTGGCCATGTCATAGACAGAAAGTGAACATCGGGCATCCTTTATTCCCCTTAGAGAACGACGCCCGCAGAAAGGTCACTTGACCTGCCGCCACAAAGCACTCGATTCCTATCACTCTTTTTGTGGTCAAAGTGATGTTGGTGCATCATTGTTTAAATGCTTAGCTTCAAATCAGCCGTTTAAAAATAAAAAGGAACTCGTTCTGAGAACAGAAGGAGGAAACGATCGTGTGGTTTTGAGGCCAGCGTTTCGACAGCAGCTACCAGACGCTTCTGCGCAGAGACAGACTGCTGAAGGCACCGGAAGGGTGCAGAGAGCGTGTGAAGAGGGCACAATCGCAATCAAAGGCATTGTGTAACACGATAGTATGCCGCAATTTTGCAGTCATTATTACTTGATGATTTCACTGGGAAGTTGTGGAAGTGTGAGAAACAGATTCAGCATTAAACACAGCCTTCAGGTAGCTTCATATCAGCCACACCGCATTCAGGATGGAGTAGAAAGGAATGGGGGCAACGAACGAGGACAAGGACATCTTGAAACATGATTCAGACACTTTACTGAGGAACCAGTGTGGCTTTCAAACCAGGATGCTTCAGGCCTTGCAGTCTAGCATCACTACCTCCAGGGTTGCCAAGTCTCACGCTTTCTGACTCTCATGCTCATGGCAAATCTAAACCTAAAATTAGCTACATCAAAAGTGTCAGAGTAGTTTGCAAATCTTAGTCTATACTTTCTCCCCCAAATTGCTCTCTGTAAGTGAGAGCAAACTGGCTGCAAAGCACAGTCACCCATAGCAGCACCCATGCAGCTGGGGGTTAGGGGCCTTGCTGAAGGACCCACAGATATACAGAGGTCAGGCTTGAACTGGTGACTTTGAGTGTCATGGAGCCGGGCGGATTTGGTGCGTGGATGAGGCATGAAGCAGGCAGATAGGTGGACGACCCACTGGCGGCTCCGCAAGACAACAAAGGTTTATTGAAACAAAACTGAAAACATTACAAACAAAAACAGACCTCGAGGGGTCAGAACTAAAAGGGATAAGCAAAGACTAATTTACAAAAAGGGTCAGGGCAACAAAGGGTGGGCAGGCGGGTTAGAAATACCAGAACATCCAAACTTCACTGACATCCAACAACATACATTTCATACAATGTGCCACTGGGGAACTGAACTGAGGCAGGGACTTAAATACTGAAACTGAACTGGGTAACGAGACAGCATGCAGGAGTGAGACAGACAATTAACAAATTGGGGACTAGGACAACAGGGGAAGACAGGATGGCCAGCGATACCTGCTGGCCAAACGGGGAGAAGATGCAAGACAAACTGGTGCTGACCCTGACACAAAGAGGCTTAGTCCATTAAGCCACACACTGACTCCTAGGTAATAAATCTGTTAAGTACATGTAAATGAGTGTGCAGGCTTGTTTCTGATTGAAAATCTCACTCCAGTCAGCTTACCAAAGTTGGCAACCATGTACCTCAGTTCTGGTGGTACGTAAGGCTAAAGCCCCAACTGTTAGACAAGTGGTCTCATAAAGCGGATAGATGCATGCATGCATAGAGAAATATCACTAAAAATGCAAGATTGCCATTGTGCCCTAGGCTTTTATTGCCAGTTAGCAGTAGCTGATTTAAAGTTACCAGCTGGAAAATGCAGTTTTCTGAACAGCGTTTCCCTAACCCGCCAGCAGGTTGTTTGACAGAGAAAGACGCCGGATTCTCCCGGGGAGAATCTCCCTCCGAGGAGGACAAGCGCAGCATGGACTCATGGCCATGCAGGACCTTCTCAGCACACCCCCGTGCGCTGAGGACAAAGCGCGCAGATCCCGTCCCTCCTCTTCCTCTCTCCTTCGTTCTTCCTCAGTACCCCCCAGCCGTCGTTCCTGCCTTCTCCAGCGCCTCATTCAACCTCCGCATCGCCCGCCTCACCCACTTTCGGTCGGGATCCGCACACACGATCTTCCCGTGTCGGGTGTGGAACCTGCAGGAGAAGGAGTCGACGATTTAGGTTGAATGCGGCTGGCAGACGGGTGACCCTTGTTCTTGCATTTACATTTAGGTCTATATTTATATATAACAGACGCTTTTGTCCAAAGTGACGTACAAGTGAGGCAACCAGCACATCACAAACATACAGAACTTCCAACGAACATACAGGTAAAAGCGTAAGCAGTATATCTTAAGTTCATGAAACGCAAAAGCGTTTAAGTGTAAATCTGTATGGTTTATGCCAAGGTCCGGATACGCTAGCTGTTAAACGCCATAACTTACTTGACAGCCAGTTTTGAACGCATGTAAGTATTACCACAAAAGTCTATGCTTAAAGCCTGTGGTTTTATGGTCAGTCGTTTATCATTTGCTTTTTGTAAATAAAAAAGCCCCTACAGAAAACGTTACTTATGAAACAGGTATAGCTCTGTAGGACCAGGTGAGAGGCTCCCTAATTTCAGCTGCAAGACCGAAGATTAATTCCTCCTTCGGTCATTATGTATAATGGTAACTGCTTTCTAATCGGTCTGAATCCTTACTGCTTTCACTACTTATCATTGCTCAAATGGATGTAAAAACACAACATAGTTACGAGATATGAGTAGCTTTATCTTATGCTCCAATTTACATGTAATTTGCCTGTTTCATATATATCGTAAAGAATATTACCCGCAAACTACACATTGTCCTTTATTAAACATGCACCAGCACTTGCTCTGCACTTACACGACAGCCCTGACCGGGCACAGTCCTGCCTCCTGCACGGTGTATCCTGCGATCCTGTGTCGGTGTATCGCCCTGTTAGACACGGACAGGCAGCATGACACTGACGGTCCGGGTGCTAGAAAAGTGAAACATGAATATTTTAACAGGCGGATACGTGAGCAGCTTTCACTCAGCGCTATGTGATCTGATTGCTTCAAACCAGATTAAAAGTACGCGTATTTATACGCATACATAACCACCGCAAACTACTACCAGTGCATAAGAACTAGGCTATACGGAATGTGGTAGACAACCACGGTTCATCGAGTTCGCGTCCGCAGACTCACATGCGCAGACGGGGCACGCCGCCGCGGCGATGAGCAGGACGGCGACCGCAGTAATCCGCCGCATCGTTCCCGGGACTGTATACTATATGCGCTTACTAGCCGGAGAGAAAGTGAGCGGACCTCCAGTCGCTCCCTCCTGCCGCACTCTGAGCTGTGCGCGGATTTCCCCCCTGCAAAAAACACCCAAAAAGCGAAACTACCCAGCGCTTGTGTCACTTTGAAAAAAGGTGCATGAGGGTCCATGAGCTAACAGCTAGGGCAAAGCAAGCAGCCGCTTTTCTCATCAATCTTTCACGATGGTTAATTAATGTTTTAAAACACTAATGCAGGGGTGGGCAATCATACCCGCAAAGGGCCAGTGTGTATGCGGGTTTTTGGGATAACCTGTAGGTCAGCTGTTCAAACCCAGGTGTGAGGGCTCTTCAGCCAATCAGTCCTCTAATTAGTGATCTAATTAGGGAGTTGCAGCGAAAACCTGCATACACACCGTCCTTTGTGGATAAGATTGCCCACCCCTGCACTAATGTATTCTAGGCTAAGAATGCATGTTGAACTAGTGAGAGGAACTTAACAGCAGCTTCACTAAAAAGCGCATGTTTTCCTCTTTCAAAGGAAAGTATTTGTATTTCTTGGTGTTGGGGTGGTGGTAAACCACAGCTGATTGATATCGTAGCGCATATATTTACGTTTCCACTTATGTAATTAGTAGTGTTGTAGTCAAGACCGCCTAAACCGAGACCAAGACATTGCCGAGACCGGAGGGTATCAAGACCAAGACACTGCCGAGACTTGAGGGTACTAAGACCAAGACACACTAAGGCGAGACCGAGACCAAGACCGAAAACAGACTAGGGCTAGAATCGACATCACATTACTCAGATCAATATGTCCATATGTCTCTCATTTAAAATCTCCCAGATTTGTCATAGTTACGAGGCCAGATGGAAAATAATATTCTCAGCAATCCTCTCCTATAACCATTTTATCAGACGTCGTCAAGGGAAAGAGATGGGATGTACCAGAAAGATGTTCATATTAAGTCTCTTATACCAGGGACAGAGGCCTCGGGTAAGCTATGAATACGGCTATGTAATGATCCTTTGCTTTTAATTGAAGAGAATGAGCCTCCAGATTGACTTGCACCTCCAAGACCGTGCTTTCTAATCAATGTAAAATACCTATATGCTATAGACTTCGCAGACATTTTCGGACATTTCTTTGCCGACTTCGCTATGATGCGATGTGTATGATGTGTGTGGACTGTGAAGCACTGGCAGTGTTCGTTGAGAAATGTATAAAATGTAACGTTTTTAAAATAGATGCATCTGACTGGTTGCATTTGAATTGAGGCGCGTAATAAATAATGATACTGTTCTGTGAGGATGTGCTGTTTTCTCTTTTTTTCCCCATCCCATCGAGACTGCTATGTCCGAGACCAAGACAAGACCGAGACCAATTTTTTGTGGTCTCGGTCTTGTCTTGGTCTCGGACATAGCAGTCTCGAGAACGGTCTCGAGAACTACAGCACTAGTAATTAGCAGGTGAATAACCTGTGAATAACCATGAGTTGAATAACCCTGGTTTAGAGCCAGGCAAAGTGTAAATTATACGTGATACTATATAGCAGGGTTATTCAAATCACGGTCCTCAAGGTCCGAGCACTGCTGGTTTTCCAGCCTTCCTTTACCAGTCAGTCAGGTGTGAAGCCTCTGACCAATCACAATCAGTAATTATTAAACTAACTACCTGGGAGAACTGAAAACAAGGCCTGGATTTGTAATCGAGGTCCAGATTTGAAGAACCCTGCTATATAGTATATAATATAAGAGAAGAGGATAGAAACTTTAATTGCCACACAACAAGCTTCATGGAAATTGCATTTGGTGTAATCCTATTGCATGTTCATATACAGGAAAAACATTCATAGTGCATACATGACGTGGAAATAAGCACATATAGATATTTAGCTGTGAAAAGATAAAGATGGATGTATAGAGAGATACGACTATGCATATATATGCTGGGTATATACTGATGAATGCATGCATATAATTACAGACATAGGCTAATCATAGACAGAGATATGATGTGTTTTTCCTAAAGTTCCATATGAGGACCAGTTAGATCGGCCCATGGCATTAGCGAACGAAGCAGCTACTTAGGGCCCAGCGGCCACCAGGGGGCGCCCCATCTGATCAGCCTGTCAGAATGGGATGGGAGATGGCAAAGGACAAGTAGGTTAATCACATTTCATTCAGGGCCCCGAAAAGGATTGGGCCAGCCCTGAGCAGCGTAACCGTCTCGATGGTTTGGTTTGATGATACCAAGCGGGAGGAAGTTATGAGCTGGACTTAGGGTGTTTGTGCTGCCTTACAGACGTACGGGCAGGTGGGGGCGCTGTCCCCGATGGAGGTGGAGACTCTGATTAGGAGGCGTCTGCTGACTCTGAACGTCTTTCACTGAGGAAACAGAGGCTCATTCGCGTTTCCTGATGGGCTTGGTGCTGCTGTTTAGCACAGGCTTGAGGAGCGAGAATGAAGATGAACACATGTGAAGATCTCAGGGCCTCTGCAGTGCAAACGCCAAGGCGGATTGTGTTTGGGACTGTGTGCATATGCACAGCCTTTTCACCTGGCAACGAGAAGCACACGTTCGGTGCTTCATGACACCCGAGCAGCAAGATGATGAAGTTCTCCATCAGATGCTGGTGCCCCTGCCTTTGCCTTGCTGGTTTGCTGGATTTTTTTCACCTTCTTCCAAACATCGTGAGGAAAATGCCCTGGGAGCAACATGTGGGAGTCTGAATCGGTTTGTGCTTTAACACTTTTGAGGGCCCTGATACAATCAGTGATTACTAATGGCACAGTCAAAACTGCAGTCCCCAGTGGGTCCTATCTGAGAATCGCTACACTTGCTGCAACCCAATAAAGGTGCAAACCCAGGAAATTAATAATAATAATTTAACCTTTATTGTCCCTTGTGGGGAAATTCTTTTTACACCTCCATCAACTTAGAACAAGCTGTCTGCGAAGGGAAGCCGCCTGTTGGGGCACCCAGGGAGCTGGGGATTAAGGGCCTTGTTCAAGGACCCGCAGACATGCTGAGGCTGGGTTTGAACCTGGCAACCTTGTGATTACAAGCACACAGGCTTAGCCCACTGAGCCTTTACAGGCATCAGGGGGTGTTTAACGAAACAAACGGACCATTTTTCCATCCTTTCAAAGACGCCCCCCTGTAAGGAATCCACTTGCAGAATCTCCGCAGTTTCAGCAAAATGGTGGTTTATTGAACAGTAAAAATAATATAATGTAATACAGTGTAGACATACACCGGGTACTGAAAGGCAGCTCAAATACAAATTAAGGGCAGCTCTTCACCCCCCTTTATACCCCAAAAGACCCTCCCCGCCAAGGTGCTGTGTGTAGGTGTTGTGAGTGAATTTACATATGAAGAGTGACCCCCTGGAGTGTGAGGATCCTGAGACAGGGACGGGACAGGACAGGACGGGGATTTCCCGTGAGAGCAAATGGTAGCTCAGCCACTTCTCTGGCCACTGTCAATTGAATTATCTTCCTTATCACCTTAGTGGTGCCCAATGGAACCCCTATTCTCTCCCAGACTTCCCCCTTTGATCATTCCCCCATGATCATTAATAGCTAACACTGTCTCCATTCAAATGATCAACCAAGAACATTGGGGCACCTTTACTGCTTTTCTTTACACCCCCCTAACCCTAATCAGGGGAATGTCTAGATAATCAACTTGCCAATGTGTTTGTTGCAAATAGACAGATATTCTTAATATTTACTTATGTGTGTTTCATGCACTTTACTGGGGGGCAGAGTGTGGCTTAGTGGGCTAAGCCTCTATGTCTGAGATTGGAAGGTTGCTGGTTCACACCCCTCCCTGGCACCTCTGTGGGCCCCTGGCCAAGGCCCTTAACCCCTGGTTCCCTGGGCACTGCAACAGCTGGCTGCCATTTGCTGTTATGGAGAGCAAGATGAGGGAGGTGTTAGGAGAATGTCCCCACAGGGACGAATAAAAAGTGTCTTTTATTATTATATTTCTTAAACACTAGTTATAAATCATGGTGTAAAATACATTGTCACTGGCTAAAAATAAATCTAATTATTATATCTCAGGCATATGCTGTGCAATATGTTTATAGAATGTTTCATTCTTATGCACACAGTCATTAACCCCGTAACTGCACCGGAAGTTTCTTCTCCGTAATCAAAATGGTGCGCAGATGAAAGACGGCAGCAGTTATGAAAACAAAAAGTGTGCACACCAAAGACAGATGAATTCTGAGATTGTTTTATTTGTGTATGTTAAGTTAGTCCTGGCCTACTGATTAGTATGCGTAGAATTTTTCAGGTCTGAATTCCCCTCTCATTCCTGCTGTTCTGTGGACCAGAATAAACCAGGTGGGGTTTTTACACTCCGGCTCTGACTGTTGCGCCTCTTGCCTGGAGATTCAGAGTTAGAAACCCCAGAAATGCAGCAGGCCGCTTGTCACCTTCTTGTCTTCTTGCATTCGTTAGCGGTGGTTTCCACCCCCTGAAAACCTCACTGTTTCTGCAAAGAGTCCCCGGCCCCCCCAGGCGTGAAACCCACCACTCTGAGCGCCGGGACCCAGAGGTCCTTTCCGTTAAACTGCCGCCAACTTGCTGCCAAGAATAGCATGTGGTGATAGGCGGGGGGTCTAGAGACGGGCTGACTGACCTGAAGCGAAACCTGAACAGGCAATGCTGACAAATCCGGCTGTGTGGAAACAGCTGCCACCTGGTGGTCAGGAGAGGGGAAAACATGTGGGGAGGGTGCAGCTCGGTGGGCTGCAGATGGTGCCTGAGTCTCATCAGGATGTGAAAATAGCCCCCGTGATACACCACACTGCTCCAGCCAAAGAGCATGTTTAGCTGTTACACAAATGCGTTTGCTTTATTATTTTACAAAGCAGAGCTGTTGTGTGATTCATGTTGTGTGCTTTGCTTTCTAGGGTTAGGGTCTGCAGCCTCATGCTCACAGTTCGGTTTAACCACTGTGTATCTGGGTTTGTTCCGGAAAGTTCCTGTGAACAGCTAGTTCTCGGCACAGAAATCGGAAGTTCCACTCGGTCATTGTTTTTTTAGTCTCCCGGAAGGACATTGAGCTACTGAGTTCTCACCAAATCACCCGCACACTGTATTAAACAACGAGTTTTATTTATCCTTCTTATAGCAACATTAAAACCACAAACAAATTGTGACCAAAATGTCAGACAGTTTAACCCATAATCAGATTATTTATAGCTGAAATAATAAATTAATATTTAATCTCAGGACGTTTCATGAAAATGGGCAAGGTTCAGAATTCTTATAAACTTTTAAAATATCTTTGAAATGACTTTGTTTAAAGGGGGAAATCAGGTGTACACACAATCAGCATGTTCTGTATGCAGAAAATAAAGCACATGAAAAAGAAAATTAATACAAGATGCAGATACTAGACGGCACGCCTAAAATATATTCATATTCCAATATTTCACATATTGGCAAAACATTCCAGAAAAATGCAAGCTGTAATTAATCAGCAGGGGGCGCTCTTCTCCGCACAGAGGTCGGCTTCTTCTTCCGCGGCACCTCCTGCTCCCCCCACAGCCTTCTCCTCCTTCTGCTGTCCACAGACTTCATGGCCTTCCTCACCCAAGGCTCATCGGGGCTGGAACAGATCTTTACCTTTTTCTTTCCGACAACGAATCTGCACAGACGCACAAAGGCAGCCGTCACCTTACAGTGCTGAGCCCCCTTCCTGCAGGACACTCTCTGCAGACACCTCTGGCCACATTAAGTAATATCCCCAGAGGAGTTCCTCATTGGTTTAACCATCACCTAAACCAGGGGCAGCCAATCTTATCCGCAAAGGGCCGGTGTGTATGCGGGTTTTTGCTGCAACTCCCTAATTAGAGGACTGATTGGCTGAAAGAGTCCTCACACCTGGGTTTGAACAGCTGACCTACAGGTTATCTCAAAAACCTGCATACACACCGGCCCTTTGCGGATAAGATTGGCTACCCCTGACCTAAACGTTTATTTGTAATAATATCTGGATGTCATAATTAGCTCAGTGATGTCACACTCACATGACGGCATCCACTGGACACAGGCCCGCACTCTGCTGGTAATAGTTCCTTATCTGTTGTACCCTCAGCACGGTTTTGGACGTCTTCAGACAGCAGGTCAGCACTGGTCCGCTGGCTGCAGGACGAAAAGCAAATAGTGGGTGACATAAAGAAACTCTGGCCATCGCGAGACATCAGGGAGACCAGCAGTAAACAGCTCAGTCGGCCTCCTGGATATAAACCACCAAACCAACCAGCAAACAAGCCTCTAATAGCTGAAAAGCAAGGAGAGTATTAATGTGACAAAGCAGCAGCAGTACTAAAATCCTCCAGAGTGTATCCTGACTTCTCCTGCTGGTCATGCTAGTAAATCTCCCCCCAAACAGCCTGATTTGGTCAGGAGCAGAGAAACAGGCACTTACAGTGGACGGCTGTGAGGCTGACCAGCAGAAGCAGAAATGAGGCAGGACCCAGGGGCAAACTGCTGAGGGGCTTCATCTGTGCTGTCTGCCAGCAGCCCGCGTGAGGGGCGCATTTGTACCTTGTGACCGGCAGGAAAAAACAGGTCACCTCGCCTCCTACACCGTACTAAACCCCACGCAAGAGCAACTCTCCATTGTGGTAAGTGTGGGAGAAGCTAGGTGTCAAAATGTGCAGACCTGCTATCAGTTTTATTGTTGCGTATTATTGTTATAATTATATTATTATTTGGGCAGTAGAAGCTTTAGTATATATCCCTCCATCTTACACATGGCTGTGGTGAGTAGTAGTGATGTTGTAAAATGATAGATTGACAGACAGACAGATTAGATCCGCGTTTCCCAACCCAGTCTGCTGGGACCTCCAGACAGTGCACATTTTTGTTCACTCCCAGCTCCTAATACACCGCTATTAGGTATTTGCTGTTCTTGGTTGTTTTGGTTTGTTTTTGATTCTTCAGTTCAGTTGTGCTGGGAGACAGCAAAGATGTGGACTGTATTGGGGTCCACGAGGACTGGAGACCGCTGAGCAAATTGTGTTAAATTCACACATGATTAAATAGAGAGACATTAGATAAATAGATAGATAGATGCACAGTTTGTTAGATTTGCTTGACTTGCACTTTCATTCATCCACCACATACAACTACTGATTCAATACTCAGTATTTTTAGTATTTATGAATCCATCACAAAGATGAGGCACGATGTAATGTGACCCCAGGCTCGCTTGAGGCGCACCGTTGATACTGTGTTTTCTCTATGGTTGCAGTGGTTGACTATTCAAAGCCAGCTCACGTATGAATGAAGAGACGGTGTTCTCACCGTTTGTTACGCCGTTGTGGGGTTAATTTGCGACTCCCCACTACTTTCACTGAGCCGTACAATTTCAGCGTTTTACATGGGGGTGGCGGTTTCGCACTTTCGTGTCGCGTGTGGGTTAAACCCCGTTGTTACGTCTTCCGTGTGAATGCAGTTATTGTTTCCCCCCATATTCGTGTGGGACCCCCACGGAACCCGCAATGGGGGCTCAGGGGAATTTATAGAAAAAGGTGAGTAAACGTGAGTGTGAATAAACGTTCGCGGCGGTGTGAGAGTTTGTAAGCGGCAGTGAATGTAATGTGCTGGTGCACGTTACACATCCTGACTTCGTGTGTTTTCTGGATCACTGACCACCATGAGCTTAAATGGCTTGAATTCGGCGTGAAATACGCGCGACAATCTGTGACCGAATTAATTTGAAAAGCTTCTGGGATTCTGCGTTGTTTTGCTCCTATACAACCGAATGTGGTCCGGTTTCAGCCGTGCAGACCTTCGCTGGGATGTAGCATCTGCTCAAGACGTAATTTCTGCAAGTCTGTGAAAGATTAAGAATATTAATCTATAAAGGCTCCACTCACCGTCAGCAACCCGGAAAACTGCACTGAACAGAAACTCGTGCATGGGCGGAGACGGGGTGGGTTTACGGCATTCATGCTCGAATGTTAAAGCTGTTTCACGATCACTTTCAGGATCTCCATCATGTTATGATGATAGTTCCTGAACTGAGCCTTGGGTATCTTCTGGGCTTCGAACCGCTCCCGACACACAGACCCGTAGTACGGAGATGCGGTGCAAAGCGCGCCGATGTTTGGAGCGTCTCTGCCCGGGTTGTGAGTCGTACGCTTAGCCGTCTGCGGTCGTGCTGGATTTGTGATGTCAATTCCCAGCCTTCTTTCTTTTCGCCCCCATTACTGCCCGTCTGCTAATCTGGGGGAGAGTAATACTGTGCTCAGTCAAACGCCATTAACCGAAGATTTTGTGCAAATCGGCACGAAAGCTATCCGATATTAATAAGCTGCACTTCAATTTCTTCTTTTGTGAAGTTTTATTTGTGACGTATAGGCCCACACACGTGTGCACCTTTCCCACGTACCTGCTTCCTGGATTGTGTTCATAAGGAAATGTGTGATACAAATAATAACAACATGAAGCAAGAAATAAAGATTAAAATAACTGTATAAATAGAGCCTATATGACCACCCATCTTTTAATCCTTATTATATGTGTGCTATTTCTAGTAAAAGTTAATAATCCTCTTTAACCAAATGTCATGGCATACTAATGTCTATAGAGAGCTTTAAAATGTTTTGTTGCGAATGGCGGTGTTATGCCGAAAAACGCACCCCTGCCGTAGAATGCATGCCGGTGTTCTGACGAGTTGAGCTTTTAGGGGTGTTTTGGGGGTTAGGATTAGGGTTTTAGGGGTGTTTCGGGGGTTAGGGTTAGGGCTATCGATTAGCACTACGGTAACCTAACTTTACAAAGTAGCTGAACTCGTTTCAGATCAGCGACCAATCGGTCATTTAGAGATAGGTATGCATTCTACTGCAGGGATGCCTTTTTCGGCATAACAGCTGTTTTGTTGAACAGTTATGATTGTAATTTATTAGCGAGCTCCGTCTTCGCGTACTTCGTAATGCCACTGGAAGTTTTACTAATCGCCTGTGAAATGAAGTGTCAGCCTTTTCATTGCAGGTCTGATCACGGCACCGTCTGCTGTGTATAACCGAGCTTGGTAACTGCGGGCGGTCAGTGTGACGAGCGGAAGGCCGCCGTGAGCTTCTCCTCCGAAATGACGCGGAGGCCCTGTTCACACATGCGTCCTGGGTGATCCGATCACAAATGGACTGCGCATATAGAGGTCCAAATACTGTAACCACATTCGGAGGTGGTTTGGGACGCATATAGTAGGGTGACCAGATAATCCATGTCAGGGAGGACACTCTGAGCTAGGACAGGAATTGTATTACCATTTCAATTAAACGGACCTGGATTTCACTTAAGCGCTGAGTTCTTGCTGTGTGCTGATTGGTCAGTCTCCTATAATCATGCATGTGTCACTAATGCTAATGTGAAACAGCTGGATGAGTCTTTCACTCAAGGAAACAAACCAGTCAAAGCACAGGAAGAGCTGAACTATTTAGCCTAGCACAGGGGCCTTTCAGTTTGAAAGTAGTTTGTAAAACCCGAAGTAGCTCAAAGTGTCCTCCCTGACATGGATTATCTGGTCACCCTAGCATATAGGCGCATGCCGCGTTCGCTCTGAAAGCCGTTTATAGCCACTCTTACGGCGGTGTGAACGTGAATGTAACCCAAGCCGCATTGAAGGACCGCCTACTCAACTGACTTCATTCTATGGGCGTAAGTACCTACTTACTCATTAAACATACGAGCGTTTTGATCATCGTGTGTGGAAGTGAACTGAGCTATGCACTGTTTCCAGGCAGTTGTTATTTTAACTTGGAGAAGTGTCTTTAAATTATTGTTTTTATCCCATTCAGGCATTTTTATTATATATTTTTTGTAATTTAATAATTACCACTAACTGATCAAGAACGAATACGTCTTCTAATTATCTTCTTGTTCCCTATGGTTCAGAACAGACTCTTCCTCTCTAAGGTAGGGATTGTAATGTTCCTAGATTCTCGCACATCACACCTCATCTACGCAACCTGCACTGGCTCCTTGTGACTGCCCACATCAGGTTCAAATGCCTAACACTTGCCTTTAAAGCCAAGACTGGAACAGCTCCTCCTTACTTGGCAACACTGATCAAGAATCGTGTCACTTCCCGTCCTCTCAGAGCATGCGGCTCTTGGTTTAACCATCACCTAAATGTTTATTTGTAATAATATCTGGATGTCATAACCTCCTGAGACCCAAGGAAAAACGTGTCCTTCAATTTTAGGTTATTTGTCTTTGGAGGAAATAAGACATCTTGCAATTTGGATTTTTTTCAAATTTATTTTTAATTTCACAGCATGTGCTCTTTAGTGTACAACAGGAATAAATATGTTTCCTTACATCGGTGAAAAGATAGATGCAAAAACAAAATGTCCACTACAATGGACATAAATGAATATGTAGGAATTATTAGCTCAGGTAATTAATATCTCCACCAGTATGTTTGAAATTAATTAAAGTTTAATTAATTATTATTTAATGCTGATTATTAACCAATCGTTATGCCGAATGGTCGTC